AGAAATAGACAAGGGTTTTGAAAGGCTGTGTCTCTTCACAGAAAGGGACAGGAAGAAGGCCTTTCCAGGAAGGAGCAGTACCTTGATCTCTTTGCAACACAATTTTAAATTATCTATTAGAATGACTTATTTTATAGATGTCTACTGTCCTTGACATTATAGTGATTTCATTTAGCTTCTGATCTTGTTTCCAAATTCTAAAACTTCCTATGCTATTTAGATGACCCTAAAAGTAAATATAATAGTGTCAAGTCAAATATTTGGAGGTGGGGTGGGGGTGGGGGTGTGTGTGTGTGTGTGTGTGTGTGTGTGTGTGTGTGAATTTAATCACTCCAAGAGTATTAACCTTTTATTTATAAGTGATAGGATTTCAATTCAGCTTTGGCTAAAAAAAGTAATTTATTGGCTCAAATACTAAAAGGCCCAGGGGTTGAGCTGACTTTAGGCACAGCTAGATTCAGGAGTCCAAATGATACATTTGACTTTCTGTCTCTTCTTCTTTTCCTCTCTCTCTGTAGCTGTGCTTTCTTTGAGAACAAGAAAGATTCCTTGGTATCTTTTATCCTGGTACACATTCCTGCCCCAAGCCTAGCATATTCTTGACACAAGACATTCACTGTTGACTGATGAATATTTAAACTTTTTCCATTGCCAGATTTAACCACTTACGATACAGTGAAACACTACTTGGTATTGAATACACCACTTGAGGACAATATCATGACTCATGGTTTATCAAGGTAAGGATTGTTTTAGTTGGACTCTGGTTTTTTTTGTTTGTTTTTTGTTTTTTAAATAACCTTTTCTTCCATATTTGGCATAAATTCTTTAGACTCATTTGATTGGGATTGTACTGGCATCACCTTTAGAGAAGAGTATATTTATAAAGATGAATTTCTTAAAGTTTGTTGTGGTTAGAATGGGGAAGAGACAAAGTTGTAGGATGTTTTGGATTAAACTTCTCAAAATATTTGCACCTTGATCCATCCCAGGAACAGGCTATGATGATGGACTCTCCAACTGAACAGATATGTTTGAGTGCCTTTTATGTTAAAGGCACTGGGCAGGGCTCTGCAGTGGGCATCAAAGGAGTAACCTCAATTCCTACCCAGGGAACTTACCAACAAGGAAAACAAGACAAATATAAAAACACTCTATAGGAAATGCTAAAAGGAAGCAACTAGTTACTACAGGGTTCAGAGGAAGGAAAAAACCACTTGGAAGGATCCACAAAGGAGGCAGAAATAGACAAGGGTTTTGAAAGGCTGTGTCTCTTCACAGAAAGGGACAGGAAGAAGGCCTTTCCAGGAAGGAGCAGTACCTTGATCTCTTTGCAACACAATTTTAAATTATCTATTAGAATGACTTATTTTATAGATGTCTACTGTCCTTGACATTATAGTGATTTCATTTAGCTTCTGATCTTGTTTCCAAATTCTAAAACTTCCTATGCTATTTAGATGACCCTAAAAGTAAATATAATAGTGTCAAGTCAAATATTTGGAGGTGGGGGGGGGGTGGGGGTGTGTGTGTGTGTGTGTGTGTGTGTGTGTGTGTGTGAATTTAATCACTCCAAGAGTATTACTGACTCGGGGCTTTTGCATGTACTGTTCTATCTTCATGTAACCTTCTTCCTTCAGGTCTTCATACAGATGTGTCCTTTTTGACCACTCAGTTCTGCTGTCACCCCAGGAGCTTTCCCTGACTGCCTGTCACCCATTTGCTCCCTGTGACACTTCCCCATGCTTTTTTTCATAGCTTTTGTCAGCTTCTGAAATTATTTATTTCACTTCTGCCTTTTCCCAAGTGAAGTATAAGCTCCTCAAGGGCAGGGTCTTACCTGTCTTGTTCATTGCCTAGAAGAATGCTTGGCACCAGCAGGTACACAATGCCTGTTTGTTAACTGACATTCTTTTTGTTTTTGATTTTGTTTTTTTTTTTTTTTCTACCTCTTTAATTAATTTAGCATTAATTTTAAGCAAAAAGAGCATTATGAAGCTTATAAGAATACATTTAGTAGTATATTCTTTCTGAATACCACATTCCCTTTCCTAAGCTAGAAACTACTACATATCATCTTTCAATTTCATTTATTTGTATTTATAGTTTATGTTCTGGACTGGTAGCTTCTATTCTGGGAACACCAGCTGATGTCATCAAAAGCAGAATAATGAATCAACCACGAGATAAACAAGGAAGGTAAGTAAAAAGTCTTCAGTATCCATGTTTTTTAATGTCTGTAATACCATTGTTTTTCAAAGATGCATCTTTGCATTTTTTATTGATAGAAATGTGTTCGTGTGTTTTTTGAGAAAATTAAGAGCATTGTTTTTATGCAGTTACCTGCTCTTTGATGAAACAGTGACAAGCCTTTGGGGAGATAAGCTAATTAACAATCATATTATTTAGACACAAGGTTTTTATTAGGACTTTATTGTTTTTAAAGAATGTTGAAAGCATATTCTGCTGAGAATTTACACAGCACTTTCTTCAGAAGCTTATGACTTGAGTAGATAACATGGAGAATTTGATTCGATATGAAACAGTATGTTCACTGTGGAAGAAAAAAGATAGAGTGAATTCTAAGTATAAGACCAAGGGTGGCATGAATCAGAAGAGTTAACCTTGAAAATATCTTTAAGATCAAAAGACGTTATCTGTATCTGTAGAACCACAAATATTTTTCTAAACTAGCAGAAAATATATATATATATATTTTTTGAGACGGAGTCTCGCCCTGTCACCCAGGCTGGAGTGTAGTGGTGCAATCTCCCGCTCACTGCAAGCTCCATCTCCCAGGTTCAAACCATTTTCCTGCCTTGGCCTCCTGAGTAGCTGGGACTACTGGTGCCCGCCACCATGCCTGGCTAATTTTTTGTATTTTTTTTAGTAGAGACGGGGTTTCACCGTGTGAGCCAGGATGACCTCAATCTCCTGATCTCATGATCTGCCCACCTTGGCCTCCCAAAGTGCTGGGATTGCAGGCGTGAGCCACTGTGCCCGGCCAATATTTAATTTTTGTAAGATTCCTTAGACAACTTAATTTTATGAATATATATATATATATATATATTTTACACAGAAAAAAATTAACAAAAGGATCTTGTTTCCTTTGTAGGGGACTTCTGTATAAATCATCAACTGACTGCTTGATTCAGGCAGTTCAAGGTGAAGGATTCATGAGTCTATATAAAGGCTTTTTACCATCTTGGCTGAGAATGGTAAAGTTAGGTTTACTTCCTTTGTGTTTTTTTTTTTTTTTCTTTGTACTTAAATTACGTTTAATCTATAAGCATTTTCCCTTTTCTCTTCTGGTTTGAAGCATGGCCCTGCCCCCCAAATCAAAGTCCTTTCTTTTTTAAATCTTCTTTTATTTCCTTTCACCTCTCCTTAGAGTTATCTTGCCTTCTGTGGTAGAGTAAGATAAAATAAGTTACCTCCATTAATGAATAAGTTGATAGTCTTGTTATAAAGCCAGTAAATAGATTTTCTGTCATGTAAAATTTTTAGTATTCCATTTAGTTATATTTTAATATAATATTTTGGAACACATATACAGATTTTACACTAGAGATCTCTCCTACAAAAAAATTTACTGTTTCAAAAAAATTTGTTACTTTGATAGCAAATGTTACATTACCCATTAATATTTATTACTACAAAACTCTGCTTCATAAGAAAACATTATATCATTTTTATTTGGTTTAGATGTTATTTTTCATTGCAGTGAACTAAGATATAGAATTAGATAGACTTGTTTAAGCAATATAGCAAATATAATAAAATGTAGAATTCTAATCTATAATGTAGAATTAGACTTGTTTAAGCAATATAGCAAATATAATAAAAACAAAGTGCTGACTTTTCTATAAGTTAAAACATTTGAAAGAATGGGTGAGTTATAGGTTTAGAAATTCAAGCAATCAAAAATTAACACAATATATTATAATACAATTATATATAATATTACATGTATCTTTTTAATTGAGTACCTACATCATGCAAAGCCCTGTCCTGAGGTCTCAGTTTTGAATAAGAAACTATAAGTGATAAATGTTATGGGAAGAGTGCATAGTGCTATAGAAATATATAGCAAATAAGTACAGCCTAAACTGGCAATTAGGAAAACCTCCCTGGAGAATGGACTTTTGAATTTAGATTTGCAAAATGAGTAGGACTTAGCCAGGTAAAGAGGGCAGGAAAAAAAACATTCTCTATAGAGGGACAGTTGGAGTGGACAGAGAGCAGGGTGAGTTCAAGGAAACCTAACAGGCCAAGCCACAGAGACCTCATGGAGAGAGTCAAAGGGTGAGACCAGAGAGAGGCAGACACCACACTGAGAAGGACATATGAGCCAGAGGAGTAATGGGCACCGGTTTGAAGAAACATGCATTTTTAGAAAATTTGTTCTGCCTGTCATGTGGATTGGGAAAAGACCAGGAGTAATGATATATGAGAGATAACGGTGGCTTGGACAAGAGTATGACAGTGGGAACAGAAGATGGACTACAAACATGTTTAGGAGGTAGAAAGGGAATAGAAACATGACTAATTGGATGGGGATGGGAGAATGGTTGGAGAAGATAAGGAAAAGTCAGACTTCATTCCCAGATTCCTGCTCTGAGCAACTGAGGATGATGATGTAATTTCCTAAAACAGGAATCATTTGCAGGGAAGAAGATCTGTAGGTAAAATAAGGTTAGTTTAAGACCTGTGAAATTTTGGACATCCAAGCAGAGATGTCTGGATGACAAACTGAATATACTGGTCTAGGTCTTAGGAGAGAATACAAGGATGGAGGTTTAGATTTGAGCATTTTCCACATATAGATGGTAATTGAAATGTTGGTAATAAATGATATCATCAAGGAATAGTAGGTATTTGTGTATTAATATGAAATTAACAGCCAAAGCCCTTGGCAATACCTGATAAAAGTATACCCGAGTTTGAGATATTATTTTGGTGGTTTTGATTATACCTTGAAATTATGTCAAAACTGTGGCTGTTTCTTACTGGAAAGGTAAAGTTTGATTTGGCCTGCATAAACCAGGCACCATTATAAGTGCTGGTAACACTGAGGAATAACATAGTCTTTGCACTAGAGGAGCTTACAATGAGATGTGGAAGTTAAACATGTAAGTAGTTAAAATTACAGAAATAATAAAAATTACTAAATAAATACTACTGAATCACTTGGTATATGGCCAATATTGTGCTAATCATTTTCATGGTTTAACCCATTGAATTCTCCCAACAATCTGTGCCGTAGGTTACTATCATATCCCTCTTTTATAGAGGAGGAAACAAAAAACATCAAAAGTCTAAATAGCTTGGCCAGGTGAGTGGTTCAGGGCATCAAACCCAGGCGGCCTGACACCCGATAACACAGCCTTATTAAGGAGGTTGTATTCTTGCTCTACCAGTGGTATGAATAGTACTCTGTGGGAACACAGAGAGTGGAGTAGAAATGGCTATGACCATATCTGGGAAGTTGCAAGAAGCTTCACAGAGCTGATATTTGATCTGGGCTTTGAGGCATCAATAGACATTTGTCAAGAGAAATACAAGGGTGCGACATGAGCATAGGGATCATGTCATGTGTAGGCCTGTTACGTTTGAGGAACTACAGAAAATTCAGTCTGGTTGAAGAATAGGTCCTCATAGGGGAGATGGTAGGAGATAAGGTTAGAGAAGTACTTAAGGACCAAGTTGGGAAGAACCTTGTGGGCCAAGCCTAGTAGTTTAGATGAACTCTATGGAGCACCTGCTTAAGCCCGGGAGCAATGTGCTAAGGTTTGTTTGACAGCAAGATTACTTTGGAAGCCGTATAGTAGATGCATTGAAAGCTAGGATATAAGAAAGGAAGTTTTAGCAATGATCTAACCAGTTAGATGACTGTAGAAATGGAGAGAAGATAAATTTTAGGGACATTTATGGTTAATGCCATAGGACTTAGTAACTGATTATATGTAGAAGGTGAGGGACAGAAAAAAGCAAATAGGACTTCCTGTGTTTCTAATGTAGAAAGCTAGGAGGATGAGTGAGACCATTGCAGAAACACAAAATCAGGGTCAGAAGGGATGAGGGGCAGGTAGAATATTTAAGTACAAAGGATGGGACCACTTTGTTTAATCCTTTGTCTTTATACATACGACTCAGGAAGTATAAATAACAAAAAAGAGTACTTAATACGTGCAAAGCTCTACATACATTACTTTTTTAAACTATATAAGAACCTAGCAAAACAAGCAGTATTATCCTCATTATTTTTCAGATAAGAAAATCATGGCTCAAAATATAAGAAGCTTGCCCAAGTTCGTGTAGCTAGTATGTGGCAGAGCTGGGAATTGACCTCAGATCTGTTCCACTCAAAACGCTATGCTCCTTACTAACACAATATACTGATTTGCTCAACATCCTGCAGCTAGCTACAGAAGTTTTAAAATTGAAGAGACATTCCTTGCAGTGGAGGGGTATTTAAAGAAAGGCTGGCTAACCATCAAAGATCACTAGAAAGTCACTGCCTGGTTGATTTGCCACAGTGCATGACCCGGAGCACAGAAACCTAATTCATGAGCATTTCCAAGTAAATTGGCCTTGAGAATATAGATTTGACTCGGTTGATCTCATTGACACTGATGATCAGGCCACAATAGTTGGCTCATTCACATCGCACAACACATTTGGCAAGTGATCTAGATGTTCAAGTCCTCTGGTCAATGTGTTTTTTCCTAAATTCAAGCTACATGGGTACTCAAGTAATAATTAGAAGGTTTCTTTCTTAACACAGAATCAGAACAAGAGGAGCTTATTTGTAAACTTAATCAACCCAAGAGAGCTCTTATATGTTCAGCTCCACAGTAGCAGGCATGAAAAGGGACTCTGCTTCTGGGTTTTCTCTAGCCTTATGGCAAAAGATAGACCAAAAGAAACAATATAGGTTCATATACACTTGCATTATTTGCAATGCTCATAGCTAGATCAGTGAGAAAATCAGCAAGCAAACAGTGCCCCCATGTGCTACTCCTGTACAGAGGCTTGGTAAATCCCATTTATATACCACCCACATTCTTTGGCTATATGATCTCCTACTCTTCAAAAACTCTATTCAAAATCCAGCTAAACTCTATCCTGATCCCTTCTACTGGATAGAGGTACTATGACCTTGCTTTGCTCAGTCCCTGGTTAGTACTTATTTCATTTGCCTATGGTTTTTGTTGCTATAATGTCATTAACATGAAGAAGAAGATTGATTACCACAGCAATTAAGAATGATTGCATAGGGGTTCTTAACTAAGACCTGTACCTTCTTCATCCAACTCGTTATATTAGTTTACTTCATTTTTGTTGTCACAAGAATATAGTATCATCATAGCTTTATATTCCTTATTTCATGTATGTCATCATACCTTTAAATAACCAAGATATATTCTCCTAAATCCACTACTTAGTGAATTCTCAGTTTACTAATATAACATGCTCAGTATTTCCAAACAAATATGAGATAAACATTGCTTTACAAACAAAACTAAATACATTTTATTTTCTAATTGCTTAAGCTTATTTATCTACTCTAGAATGATAGAGCTGCTCTCTGTTCAATTTTGATTAGAACTGAATTAGACAGGAATTATTAGATTCAAGGCACTCTCTGTTCCGGTGTTTACCCTGTGATTTCCCTCTGTATCTTTACTGTTTACATCCTCAGCATTTATGTCTTCTTCTAACCCTTATTCTTTTATAATTCCTTTAGATGTAGCTATACCTTCATTCAAGTTAAAGACAAGGCTTTCTGAACTGGAAGGGCTTTTCTATATTTAATGTGAATTTTTATGTAAATGTTGTGAGACATCAGGTGTTGGTTTTGTGACCTAAATCTCCAAGGATAATCTTTCACCTTCCTCACTTTCAAGTTCTAAAGTGACTTATTTTCATGCTCCATATACAAACTAGATATAGAAAAGCCTGCCTAGAATTCAGGCATCTTGAGTCCCAGCCCTTTAGCCAGTAATGGTTCAATAAAAAGAACTCTGAGAATGGAAAACAGAAGCCTGTGGTCTAGCTCTATAACATGCCAATAGGCATTTGACTGCTAAGCCTCAGTGGTCTCATTTGAAAAACAGGGATATTAATATCTTTCCTTTCTATTGTAAGATGTTGTTTAGAGAAATCTGTGATAAATAAGACATAAAAATGCTTTGTAAATTATAAAGTCCTTTACAAAGGTGAAATACCAAAATATTTGTTTTCAGCCTAAGTGGATGGAAAATGACTTTGTCATTCAAATATATGTATGCACATATGTAGAATATTTATAATTGCTTTGAAATATGCACTAACTTCTTTGGTTAATCTTTCAGACCCCTTGGTCAATGGTGTTCTGGCTTACTTATGAAAAAATCAGAGAGATGAGTGGAGTCAGTCCATTTTAAACCCCTAAAGATGCAGCCCTTAAAGATACAGTGTTCAGTATTATTGAAATATGGGCATCTGCAACACATACCCCCTATTATTTCTACCTCTTTAGGAAGACACCTATTCCACAGAGACTGATTTATAGGGGGCAGCACTTTATTTTTTTTCTGGAAACCCAAGTTCTCTTTGACTCCTCTTTTTGTCCAAAAGTGATCTGGTCGGATCTCACAAGGCCATCCAATGAGACCCCGCACAGCATTTTCTAAAGAAGAATCGAAGCCTGACCACTTTCACCTTGGGCAAGAAGGTTTGGCCCTTGAGTTGCTATTCTATGCTGAAGAGCCTGCTTAGAGGAGGAGTACCAGGAGGGAGCCAGCATCTCAGATCTGAAGTAGATGATAGGAATGTGGAAGAACACAACGTAGTGCTTAAGAAATACATTTAACCTGTTATGTCAGTATTTATAATTGAAGTTTGATAATTCACTTTTCTGTCATTGTTAAAGTGTACATATTGTAAATTAAAGGGAGGTGAATGGAAATTAATGAATAAACATTTTGAGTTTCCCTAGTATTGAAGGAAGTTGTACTTCTTGTCAGAAAGATTAAAAAAATCAAGTTGAAATGATGTTTGAATTTCAAGAAAAGAGGCTGCTGTCAGTACCCTCTCATTAGATGTGTTAATTGGTTAGCACTCCACTGCACATGCTAATGACTTCCTCTGACAGCCACACACGGAATCTTGATGAAAAAAGAGCAGAGCATTTGCCTTGTTACATAGTCTGTTACAAGCCAGATATATTGCTAGCTCTCAAGAATTGTAATATATTAAGAACTACAACTTATTTGATTAAAACTCAGCTGTATAGATCCTTTTATAAAGCACCTTTTGTTAACCATCAGCCTTTCATTGGTATTTTAAAAGCAAGGCAGATAGTCATGTGTCCTTTCTTATCTCCCTTACCTGACACTAGGGGCTCTAGAGAGGCAGAGAGAGCACTCACAAATCACACTAAAACTGCCAATGGCCTGACTCTTACTCAGTTTAGCAAAGCTCCTTGCCTAAAAAGTGATAAGTAAAAATCTGTTTATGGTATACAGTTATGTCTCCAATCTTTGAATCAAATCCATGTTCTTATTTTAGAAAGGTAAAAGAGTTCTTCAAATTCAGCTACATACCACCAGCTCTCCCAGCCTCAGACGGTGGGCATTTCTGGATGGATGCCTGCGGTTATGGATAAAGGCTGTAACTGTTAAAATAGAAAAACATGAAGCTCGGGCCCAAGAAAGGCCTTGGAGCCAGCCAAGCAGAATTGGTTCTGATGGACATGGATGATGTTGAACAGAAAAAAGTTTACAAGTGCTTTGCGGTTGCACTAATGTATACTCACTGCCATTTTAAGAGGGGAAAGTACACTTTAAAATATATTTGAATGTCATGTACTGATACGCAGTAGCTTATTGTTTTTCTAGTTGCAGAGAATGTGAAGTTTAATCTCTTAAAATATTTAGATGGTCTGCTTTTTCATTGAATTTGTCAATATGAAATTGCATTGTAAAATATTATATATATATATATGCTTAACTTCCCAAGTGTTCTGCATTGAACCACTTTGGGAAAATTTTGTTTTTTTATGTTTTGTAATTTTTAAAATTAAGTAAAGACTGGATCAAAATAATTACATCCAAACTGGACCATGAACAATTGATTTAGCTTTATTCTTTGGGGGGTTGGGGAGTTGGGATGAAAACACTGCTTATGCACTGACATCATTCCTTGGAATCTGGATCAACATGAATTTCAGGAATTTTTAACCTGAAATGACTCCTTGAGATTATCTGATTTAACCTTCCCATTTCACATGTTAGTAAACTGAGATTCAGAGTAGAGTTGTTCATGCTCATGAGTGACTTAGTAGCAGAGCCAGGATAAAAACACAGTTCCCCTAATTAATATGATTATTATGACTGAGAGTTATTGTTCACTAATTAGGTATCAAGGAAGGCTGTTATATCATGGTCACAACCCAGTAAAGTCTTCTAAAAACAGATTTTTCCTTATGGCATTTTTGTCTCATACATTTTAAATGAATCTGAATTGCCTCTAGCATACATTTTAGAATGGAGTCACCATGCTTTAGCTTGAACATTAAGACCTTCTATAATCTAACCAAATCCAGTATACCCAACACTTATCCAATCACATTCATAATTTTCTGATGAAATCATATCTACTGATTATCTTGGAACATTGCTTATTTTTGCCAACTCGGAATCATCAACTCATTTTCCAAAATAATTCTCAGTAAATAAAAAGGATTAAAAATTTCAGTAATTTTTGTGTCCATACTCACAGGCTTAAGAATTCCAAACTCACTTACTTATTATAATACCACTCTATGTGGTATTTCTCTACATTTTTTCTCCTCTCAAATGATTTTTTTCTTACTGAAAATGCATATACTTATTTTTAATTATGTACAGTTTTTTATATGTATAAATGAATTAGTATATCTAATTATAGACTAATTTATACAATATATAAGATAAATTATATATGAATTAATTTATATATATAATTAAAGTGGTAACATTTATTAAGTTTGCTTTCAATATGGAATAACATGTCTTTTTCAAGTGCTCCAAATCCTATTTGATTGTAAGCCACTAGTGGACAGGTGTACATCTTCCATTTTTATATAAATCTCTGCTCTCTTTAGTAGCATTTATTTGCTATTAAGAAAAAAGTGATTACAGCTACATATAACATGAATCAATTAATTTTATCTTTATTGTTTTAAGAATCTGTGACTATCATATGAGTCTGCAATTTCTCTTTTACTTTGCTAATAAAAAAATTCAGGACAATGTAAATATAAAAGAATTTGTTAGTCATCTTCAAATTTTCAAGCACATTTATTTACAGTTGTTATAATTACATATATTTTTTCTATTAATGAAAACAAATTCCTTCAGGACTTTCCTAGAAAAAAAATGGTTAATTTTAATACTTGATGGTTAAAACAAGTTCTTTGGAAAGGAAAATAAGTAATTCTTTGCTTTCCAATTAAACTGAGACTCTTTAAAGATGACTACCAAGCAAATATATATTATTATTGAATGCCAGATAATGTGGAAGAAAGACTGAACCCAGAGTATCCTACTTTGGGTTCTAATTCTGACAGAAGAGTATAACTAGGATCAAGTCCCTTCACTTCTGAATTCCCATTTCCTTAAAAGCTGAAGTGAGACGAGCATGGTGGCTCACACCTGTAACCCAGCACTTTGGGAGGCCAAGGCGGGCAGATGCCTGAGCTCAGGAGTTGAAGACCAGCCTAGGCAACAGAGTGAAACCCTCGTCTCTACTAAAATACAAAAAATTAGCTGGGCATGCAGGCATGCGCCTATAGTCCCAGCTACTCAGGAGGCTGAGACAGGAGAATTGTTTGAACCTGGGAGGCGGAGATTGCAGTGAACTGAGATTGCACCACTGCACTCCAGCCTGGGCAACAGAGGGAGACTGTCTGCGAAAGAAAAAAAAAAAATGCTGAAGTGACTGACCTCTAGAATCTTAACCTGTATATACTTAAAGGGAGCCATTATATTGATGTCATGTTTAAAAAAATAGAATTTTTAAAATTTCATTAAGGATTCTTTTTGCCTGGGTTTATTTTCTCATATATCAAGATAGGGGAAAAAATTATTCAGACCTTAAAGTATAATACAGAGTTCTTAATGTGTCTGGACTGTCTCATCCTGAAATCCACTCTTCACAGGGAAGCACCCTCATCTTCCATTGGGCAACTTTGGGCATATTCTCACCTTCAATTTCTCCTATATACACACATAGTAAAAATTAAAACCTTTAATGCTATATCCAAGACCTTCTCAATCTGACTACAGGCCATTTTTCTCACTTTTACCTTTCACTGCTACCTGTACCCTACCTCCTTGGAAATGCATTGCTCTAATTATTTCCCTGGAGATGCTCTATACTTACTGCTTTTCTATGTAGTTTATTCTGTTCCCTCCATCTACCTTTCTTCCCACCACCACCACCTAGTCATCTTTATTTGTATTGATTAAATTCTACCTCAGTTATCTAAAACGATCACCTACTATTTCCTCTCTGAAGCCTTCAGTATCTTCAGTACCCCCTTTCTCCCATTGCTTCCCCTACTACATAGATGTACGTATCAGCATCCCCTACACAAGATGTATCGCTTGAAAGCAAGGACCATGTAACACATCTTTGTATCCCTTATAAACTTCAAATAGGAGCCACTCTGAAGGTACCTATTGAATTGAGAGGGTTTTTTGGGGAGTGGGGAGAAAGACATTTATACACATGATTAAATCATTTTGTTCTCTTCTTCAGAATAATTATGTTGGGTCAATAACATTTCTGATTTTATAAAATTTTTTTACCATATTAAATGCTTAATTGTTTTTAAATGATCATGTGTGTTTAAAACATGTCATAATTTTTAAGGATCATCTTCATCAGTTTAATAGCTATTCCATAAAATCTAGAATTTGATAGTTTCAAATAATATATAATTGACTAACAGTTAATAAATATGTGATATGCTTACATTATTCTTCATTTTAAAGCATGTATGGAAATGTACGGAAACAAAGCATTATTTGGCCTTCACTGATGCCATACACATGCACATTTTACCCACACTCAAGTGTTTAATTATTTCAAAATTTTGAGGAATACATTATTTTTTTCTCTCCCCATACTTTACCCCCAACAGGCTGCTGTGATTGTCAACAGCAGCAGGAGCCACTTCAAGGTTTGATAAAAGCAGATGAAGATGCTTAAAGATGTCTGTTTGCTGAAAATATCTGGTAACAGACAGGAATATATGTGAGTAAATAAACTGTGTTATTCTGATTTTAAAAGTAAATGTTTTAAAGTGCCTAATTGCTTGTTATCACGGGTTTTGTTTTGTCGTGGTATAGTTCTGAGTTAAGAAGGTAATAACAAGGAAGAAAATACATGCTACAGCATGGATGAACCTTAAACACATTATGCTGAGTGAAATAAGCCAGGCAAAAGTGAACACATACATGATTTTACTTGAGGTACTAGAATAATGAAAATCATAAAGACAATATAGAATAGTGGGGAGGGCATGAGTAGTTGTTTAATGGGTACAGTTTCAGTTTGGGAGATGAAAAAATCGAAATGGATGGTGGTAATGGTTGTACAACAATGTGAATATATTTAATGCCACTGAGCTCTACACTTAAAAATGGTTTGAATAGTAAGTTTTGTTTTATGTATATTGTACCACAATAAACAGAAAATTTAAAAATCCATGTGCGTAGATGCGAAAAAATATTAGCAAATTAAATCCAGCATCATATAAAGTATAAATACATCATGACTAAGTGAGATTTATCCTGGGAATACAAAATTAGTTCAACATCCTAAAAAATCAATATAATTCACCCAATCAACAGAACAAACAAAACATGTATCAATAGAATGTGAAAAAGTATTTGATAAAATTCAATAGTATTTGATGATAAAAATTCTCAACAAAATAGCAAAAAAAAAAAAAAAAGAAAAACTTCCTCATCCTGTTAAAAAGGATCTAAGTAAAACCTATAGCTAACATTGTATTGGTGAAAGACTTTCTCCTTAAATCAGGAACAAGGCAATATCAATTCTCACCATTTTATTCTAATCCGTACTGAAGTTCTTAGCCATTGCAGTAAACCAAGAAAAGGAAATAAAAGACACATTTATTAGAAAAGAAGACATAGAACTGCCTTTATTCACAGATGATATAATTATGTATATAAAAAAACCTCAAGGATACCAAAAGCTACAAGAATTAATAATGAAGTCCTAGCAAATTCACAAGATATAAGGCCAATATACAAAAATATATTTTGATATACTGGCAATGAAAAACTGGGGACTAAAATATTTAAAAATTAATATTATTTACAATAGCACAAAAACATTAAAAACTTAGATATAAATCTAACAAAAGTATACAAGATTTGTTCACTGAAAAATATAAAACATTACTGAGAGAAATTAAAGATTTTAGTAGAGTAATGAACTGTGTCCATGGATTAAAAGACTCAGTATTGCTCCAAAGTTAATTCTTGTCAAATTGATCTCTACCTACAATGAAATTCTAATAAAACCCCAGCAGGTTTCAATTTTTTTTTTTTTTTGCAGAAGTTGACAAGTATATTCTAAAATACATATAGAAAATCAGAAACAATTTTGAGGAAAAAGAACAAAGTTAGAGGATTAATATTACTTAATTTTAAAATTAGCTTTCAAGCAGTTTAGAAAATAATCAAAACAAAGGGGTATTGGCACAAAGACAGATGTAGAGATTGATGCAACAGAATAAAGAGTCAAAGAATAAACTCACATACATATGGTCAATTAATTTTTGGCAAAAGCGCCAATAACTTAACTGAATAGTATAGTCTTTGCAACAAATGGCAATATAACAATTGGATATCCATATGGAAAAATAAAATCCTCAATCCTTACCTCACTACAAAAAGTAAAGTTAAAATGAATCATAGACCTAAATACAAGAGCTAAAATTATAAAACTTCTAAACAAAGCACTGAAAGTTTGTTTTTGTGAGTTCTTGTTTTGTTTTGTTTTTTCACCTTGGGTTAGTAAAAGATTTAATGGAACAATAACAACAAAATAAA